AGACACTGTGGCTTGGAAAACATATTCAGCAAGTGAGATTAGCAAAGGTATGTAAACTTACTTTTGTCTCATTGTTTTGAAGGGTACAACTTTATCTTGATGGTGTATATACAGACTTGGAGGAGCTTCTCGAAAGGGCCAGGATGTTTGGTATCTTTGACATGGCCAAGAAAGCACCGAGCAGAGGGAGCAAAATCTACAAGCTTATCTCAAAACACCTTTTGCAAAGCAAACTACCTCAGGATGAGGATGGGATCTTAGATGTGATCAATGATTTCAAAGATCTATGTCAGAACACTGCAGTCTATGGATGGGTGACAAAATATTGTGAAGGAATCTTTCGACATATACTAAATCATTCATCCCATACGGCAAAAGTTTCCAAAACCCTCTTTCAAGATTATGGGTTCTTCCGGAAAATTTCTTTTGCCTTTGCAAAGCTGGACATGATTGACTATATAAATCAACAACCCAATTTTCCAGCCAAGGAGAAGCACCTGAAGAACATTGAGAGTTGGAAAGAGGAAGCAACCTCAAAATCATTTTCTCCAGGAGGTACACATCTTTTGGAAAGTTTTTACAAAAACATGGATTCTAGACCAGAAGATTATCTTGATCATCATAAGTTCATAGCTGCATTTTTCCTTGTCTTCCCTACCAAGGAGAATCATCTTAAAGAATCTATTGAAAGGGGATACAGTTACCACCACCAAGAAGTTGAAAAATTGATGGGCATTTGGTCTAGAGTGTACCCAGATGGTGTTGTACCAGATGCTACATTTGGTGAATATAAATGGATGCTCTTGGTAAAAAGTAAGAAGATTAGACAACCCATATCAAAATAATACATGTGCACTGATATTTATCTTGTCTCACAAATCTTCAGATCCTGCATGGCTTGAGAGAGTTATGCTCCACCAGATAGCAACCCAGCTGAAGATTGCAATGGGACCATGTATTATGGACCTAGTCAATGTGCTTGCAACTGGGCCATGGTCAAGCAACTACATAGGTTTTTCAGCTTCTGTGCAATATAAGAAAGTCATTGATAATCTACAAGTGGCTGATGCTGGTATTGTAGCTGATGTGGTTTATGAACTGAGTCTGAAATTGGTGTACCACTTGATAAGGTTCAAAAGTGGATGTGACAATGGATTTTCAGGAATTTCAAATCCTTCGAAAGAGATCAGAACAATCATCTACAATGCCATAGAAACTTTCACAAAGATGAGGAAAGCTCATCCCCCTGTCAAAGGAAATTTACCTGCTTCAACTCCAGGATTTGATCACTTTTTATACACAGTCAGTGATGTGAGTGGTAGAATTAACATTTTCTTTGACTGTGTACATCAGGTTATTAATTTTTAGCTTAACATATGTTTTTTGTTGGTATCTAATAGATTTTGGACAGTGGTAAACTTGATCATACACAGGAAAAAATGATGATCAAACAGGTGACAGAGCAATTAAAATTTAAACCACAAGATTTTCATTTGATTATTAGTGGGCAACCTTTTAAGTTTGAATTCAGTGAACCTTTAGAAGCTGATGTGAGTAACCAGAAAGATGCAACATCGGTACTTGATATTGATCAAAAGGGATCAGGGCCAGACCACACGCAGTATATCCTTAAGACACCTCAAAGACCATCAGGATCCAAGATAGCTAATCTTGCCAAATATTTCATATGGAAATGTGAGAAGCACTGAAATGTGGTTATAGCCCTATCAGCATATGTATTTGTGCTTTTTCCTTCAGTGTCTTGCATGCTATCAAAAATTGTTATCAACACAAACCTCTTTCTGTGATCAAACTTTCTTGCATTTGATCAATATTTTAGATTTTTTGCTTGCCTTCTGTGCATCCCATTTTTCAAGATTTTTTTCATGTGACCACCATCTCAGATACCACTTTGATTTCTTCTTCTCTCTCCTTTCATGAAGCAATCATCACATATGATCATGCCTTGGAGATCTCATTTAATTTGGTATTTTGAAACTTCCACAAGGTTTTCTACATGCCAAAAAATTCTAGATATTCCTCCTTATTCAGCTGGGTTTGAATCAGTCAAGACATTATGACCCAGAAAATATCTTCATGTCTTCTGCAGAATCCTATACACCTTGGTTTAATAAATGGACTTCTCTACACAAAAGATTGTGCAGGATCCTAGTGTTTTCAAATTCTTGTCCAAGTTTCATACTCAATTTCAGATCAAATTTGATAAAAAAGAAGATCAGGAACAGTACTGTATGACACAAACCAATCATTGTAACCCCAGATGGTGTTGGAAGTTGAACTAGATTATGCTTACAGACAATTCACTTGTGGTACACCTTTTTTTGTGTGAAGAATTTCAAGGTTTTCTTGACCAGCATTTTCTGTGACAGATAAAACAATGGTGTGTAGACCACCTCTCAGAAAATCTGCAACCTTGAAATCAAGTGGTGCAGTTAATCACAGGAATTGAATGTAATTCTTGAATCAAATTAGCTGGTCCAATGATAGGTAGATTCTTGCATACTTTGTGCATTGTCTCAAGTTACTCACACTGCCAACATATTTACTTGAAAACTCCAAGGTATTCTCTAATTCCAAACCTCAGACAGAATCTTTCCATATATGTACATTTTCATTGGGCCTCATGGTTTATTTATGCATATCTCCATGCAACCCAATCTCATCATGTATTTGGGCTCAAAGCCATGCAATTTGTCTTTGAAATCTTGTTCCTTTGAATTCCAACTGGTACCTTGCCAGCTTTGACCCAATTGTTCAAATGACCTAGGTTTTAGCCTACACCAAGTCTGAAAAGGCCTGCACTATGCAAAATGACTGATTGTATAACTTCGCAGGTTTGAATGTGATAAATCACCAACAATGGATCACTGGGTTGCTAAAAGTGTGCAAAACAATAGCAACACATTGTCACCGGAACCATCAGAAACGCAACAAGTTATGACAATACCCAGTGTGTTGCCCACTGACGTCCCCAAGACTTGGGGGTCGTGATACTTCGCAGCGTGATTGCACAAACCAATGTCACAACGGGCAAATGTCACTCAGGGTCTCACTTCAACCCTTCAGTCTCTGGAAGCTTCAGCACGAAAAGCCACATATCAGCCTGTTTTTGTGATTGGATCAGATAATATGGGCGCAACCCTCACCAGAATGGCCTTCTGAGTGCTTCAAGGAGCGCCTGAGATGCGCACTGAATGTTTGCCCTGAACGTGTCGCACCCACCTGAACTGCTGGCCATCCACCAAGCGAGGCTGAGCTGTGGGAGCTGGACAGGCCTCAACCTGTCTCAGGGTCTCCTGAGTGCTGCCTTAGATGTAGGATGGGAGGATCGTTCGTGATTGAAGAAAGTGAAAGCTGAGAAATTATTTAGGCAGAGGACACGATATGATGGAAGAGAGATATGCTTATACAGCGTGTGTACATACACTGAAGTTTTTTACATGCACTTCGTTCAAAATCAGAGTGAAACTTTTTCCCTCATCGAACTTTCTCAAAAACATCGACTATCAAGTTAAAAAACAACGAACGAAACCCTTCATTCATCATCATCAGAAGCTTTTCAAAGGATGTCAAATCGAATCGGATCGCTAGTGTTTTGTTTGGATTGTGGAAATCTATTGAACGTACCTGGATCTGAAGACTATCTATCATGTGATCAATGCGGCAAAATGGAACTATCAAATCGTCAGTCAAAAAGCTTAATTCATATATCAACTTATCTCTCAAAACAAAAAAGTATTGAAGCTTGAATCTACGTGGGCAAATATAGTACAAGAAGGTTTAGAAATCATCACTCGTTCTCAATCAAATGCATTTCCATCAAGTCTAAGACAAAAAAGAGCCCTTGTGCAATCTCATTTGACTACTAATGAAGATCAAGATCAAGGAAAAGCTGCACCTTTAGTACGTCTCTTTCGAAACACACACCTTCTTCTTCTCGGATTATCTTTCAAGTGAAATTATTGTTTTTGTTTTTACTAACTTTTTTTTGGAAAATTTGTTGTTTCTTTTGTAGATGGATGAAATTTGTCCTAAATGTTCAAATCCTCAAATGAAATATCATACATTACAACTTAGATCAGCAGATGAAGGTACAACTGTTTTTTATGAATGTCCAAAATGCGGGTAAGCTTACAAAATCATTCTTTTAAACTGAATCATTCCTCATGTTTTAAAGAACGCATTTAATGAAACAATTAAAGCTAATCCTTAATTTGAATGAAATTCTTTTCAACTACGCAGTCATAAATTCTCGACCAATAATTGAAGAAAAAAATACCAATCGGATTATTGAAAGGCTCAAATATTCCTTTATACCTGTTATTCATGCTTTATTGTGTCTAAAATCTAAAGGGAAGAGTACATTGAATTTCATTTGTCATTTCTCGTTTGTCTGTAATTTAATGACACGCGTGATTTTATTTGCATTTTCC